GATACCATTGGCTATCTAGCGGTCAGATTGGCCATAATCGGTACAAAATCGGCACTGGTCTACACCATACTGGCCACTTGTCATCAGGGCCTCGAGGACGACCGACACGGTTCGGTCAATCAACGTAGCGCTGTCTATCATCGTATTATTTCGCTACTGTTCCTCGGGTTGACCATCGTTGGCCTATACGGTGTCTATACCAGTCATTTGGGCCTATTTTTTACATGGTTTCTCTTGAGACCTATTGTCTATATATTGGATCTGGAAAGTAGTCTATGGACAGCCATTGCTATGTCGTTGATAGCATCGGGCGGTACCCTATCCTATGTTACCTATGAACCTATAGCAGCATTGCTGGGCCAATTAGCTTAGCTAACCTATTATTTAAGCTACCGATACCCCATAGACACCATAGATAGTCATCCCAATAGAGATTCCCTTTTTATATTTGATATCAAAATTTTTGTTGTTTTGTTTGTTAATTATCTAATCATTAGTTAAGTTAATCATCATATCTCTCATGAATTATAAGACAAGTCATTGATTTTTTTTTTAATTATAAATATCATTATTATTATCATATGTTTGTTTAGTTTGTGTTTAACTATTGATTAACAAAAAAATAGACTATTTTTTAGATATTATTTTATCCATAAAAAAAATTTTGTCCATTGATTTACATTATTGTGATATTATATATATAGATATAAATACAATAATATATAGTATAATATTGAAGTAAATTTAATTGAAATTAAATTTATTATAATAATAATTATTATTACGGTATAGAAAGTTATTAAATAATAACTTTAAATAATTGATTAAATAAATTACATTATAATTGATATGCAATTTAATATTTAATATAATAATTGTTAAAATTTTAAAAATAACTTAAAATTTTTTTTTTTATATAATTACCGGTAATTTTTTGTTAAAATATTATATAATATTTGCTATATTTTTGTCAATTTTAAAAAAAAGAAATTGATTTACTATTAAATTATTAAAATTATTAAAAAATTGAAATAAAATATTTTGCACAAAATAAAAAAGTTGTCTAGCTTAATTTTTATAAAATATTTAAATAATTTATTTCCTTTTTTAATTAATTAATTAACTAGCTTAAATATTAAAATAAAATTTGCAATAATAATAATTATTACGTACTTTATAACCAAACCATTAAATTAGAAAATTTAAAAATTATTTGTAAAAATATATTATTTTTGGTACTTTTATTAACTATAAGTTTTTATACTAATTTTAATAAATAATCTATTAAATAAAAAAGTACCTAAAAAATTATATACTATTGAAAACTTACAATATTTTTTAAAAACAATACAATATAGTACGTACTATAAGTCTACTAAAATAATTTTTTGAAAAAACATTTTAACTTTTAACAATAAATAAATATTTTGGTACTATTTTAACTCATTGATAACATGTTCAACTAATACATTGAAATCTAATCAATAAAAGTACCAAAAATTATAAATTATAAATAACATTATTATTATGACATTTTAAATTTAAGTTAAAAAATAAACTAAAAAAATCAAAACATTATTTATTTATTGGGTTTTTTAATTATAATTATAAATATTATCCACAAAAAACTGGTTTATTATTATTATTAATACGTTATTAATACTAATATTATTACAAATACACTACAAATACAAATACATTACATTAATAAATAAATAAATAAATAAATAATAAATTCAATGATTATTATTGCTATGACTTAATGCAAACAACACTTGCAATAAATGACTAATAATTTTATTATTAAAAAAAAATTATTATTTATTTGTGTTTTAAAACACAAAAACCGTTTAATAATTCAACACTTTTTCTCAATCTATTAGATCCCTGTCCTCAACAACAACAACAACAACACACTTACCGCCCGATACTGATTGACTGTCCACTGACCGACCGATAGACCGAAACATAACAACCATTCGTTGGCCATCACATTACCGATTGATCGACCGATAGACCGACCGAAACACAACAACAACCACCCGTTGGCCATMACATTACCGATTKATCGACCGATAGACCGACCGATAGACCGACCGAAACACAACCACCCGTTGGCCATAACATTACCRATTGATCGACTGACCGAAACATAACAACCATCCGTTGGCCATMACATTACCGATTGATCGACCGATAGACCGACCGAAACATAACAACCATCCGTTGGCCATAACATTACCGATTGATCGACCGATAGACCGACCGAAACACAACAACAACCATCCGTTGGCCATCATATTACCGATTGATCGACTGACAGACCGACCGACCGATACAATGGTCTCATTGATACCCAAGTCGTTGATTGCAAAACTAGTTGACGGCTCCTCATCGTCGTTGGTCTCGTCGGCCAAAACATCGCCGCAAGTATTGAATACACAATTTTATCAGCTAAACGATGGCCAGCTCGAGCCCGGAGCCCGAATAGTAATCGAGGGACACATGCGACCGGCGGCCCAACATTTCGAAGTCAACCTATGGTCCGGTCGATTGGTTACAAAAGAGTTGGTCAAATCGGGYGATATAGCCATACATTTTTGTGTCAATCCTTCCGGCGGCTATTCGCTGGTCAATTCCCGTCTAAATAGGCAATGGGGTCGCGAAGATAGGACACCCCGCGGACGACTGCCGCGACCACTGCTACAAAACCAGAAGTTTCAGTTAGTGTTTGCGCTGGACATCGGCTGCTGGCATGTAATGGTCAACAATAGTAGTAGCGTCGGTAACAACACTACGGGTGGTGGTGGTGCAGACCGAATTCTGCTCAGTTTCCCGCATAAGATGCCATTCAATACCGTCGGTTTGGTTAGCTGTTACGGTGACGCAACCGTCGAGCACCTGGAAGTACAGCAACCGGTCACACATACGGCTAGTGTGGCCATCGATAGCCAACAACAACAACATTATCAACCAATGCCAGCACTGGTACCGTTACCATCGGGTTCAGGTTCTGGTGGACTGCCGCCGGCCTATCCGTCAATCGCCGATGATTTCGTCCTAAATGGTAGTTCAGATCATGTACTCTACAATATTCAATACCCGTCGCTACCACTGTTGCAGCCAATCAAGTGTGGCCTACAGCCGGGTATGATTGTGGCCATAACTGGTCGACCACTAGATTGTGGTGGCGGAGGTCAAAATCGTTTCGATTTCGGTCTATTTCAGGGCCCGAACCCCTATGAAGACCCACACAGGGATGTTGTCTTTCATTCGGAGGTCTATATGAAAGAACAGTCGATTGTCAGGAACTCCTATCAGCAGAACGAATGGCGAACTCAAGAGAGATATTTAGATCACTTTCCGTTTCAATTGAATACCGTATTCAGGCTAACGGTTCGGGTCGAAGCCAATCGCTTGATGGTTGCCGTCAACAATCGACACGTTTACGACTACTATCATCGGGTATTGCCGCTGTCCACTGTTGACCATATATGCATACACGGCTCCGTCGAAGTCCAGTCACTGTGCGTTATGAATCCGCCGCTTTAGGGWTAGATATTTTACCCGAAAAAAAATTTACCGCTTTTTTTTCTCGCCCACCAATTACTACTACCACTACTACTACTACTACTACATTGAGAGCTATTATTATTATTATTTTTTTTGTTGAAAATTTCAAATACATTATTATCTTATAGTTAATCGCCGGCAGTTACGTATTTGTTAGAGAAAATTAACGTCGTATTTTATAAATATACACACAAAAAATAATTGCATAAATATATAATATTACAAAAAATTATAAAAAATTATCAAAATTTACAAACACATTGAATTATTATTTTCAGTAATTTCGTATGTTTGTTATTATAAATTTAATTAATTGAAAGTTATCGAAAAAATTTTTTTAAATCATTATATTATTTTTTTTACTTTTTGCATTTATTTTATTTTATTAATTAGAAAGAATTTTTAAATTTAATTTTAAATACTTTTATTATATAAATTTTATATTATATATTACACTTAAAAATATAATTTTTAGATTAGTTTTATTATAATATAATATATTTTTATAATATTTTTTTATTATAATGAAATTATATTTAATTTTTATAAATAATTTTATAATTAAATAATTTTGAATTTTATACTAAAATTATTTAATATCACAAATATTTATTTTTGACTTTAAAGTCGAATATCTCGAAAATTATTTGACACAATGAAAATTATTATATATATATTATAGTTGTCATATTTATAATTAGTAAAAATCACATGATTTACATGTGATTTTTATATATATTGTATATATATATATATATCTTTATTTTATTTTACTTATATATGTTATAATCTTTTGTGTAAATATAGACACATTTTTGCCTATCCCTGCTTATAGTCACAAATGTTTAGTTTTTTATAGTAAAATAAATTATACTGTATTTATATATATTATATGTATATTTATATATATATACTGTGTATATATAAAAAGTTAAGGTTTTATATATATATTTAATTGTATAGATATTTATATATATATAACACAAAAAAATTTTTTACAGTATTTTTATTGTTATTATTATTATTATAATTATGAAATTTTTAATGCTTGTTTAGTTTATATACTTATATATATAAAATATATATATATTTATGTTATATTTATAATCAATATTGTTATATATAAATATTTAATTTATTAGTATAACTTGATTATGAAATGGTTAATATATTTATTATTATTATATAAAAAAATATATATTTAATTATTTATTGGCAAAAATATTTATAAACAAAACTAATATATATTTATTAATATATAATGTTATTAATAATGTTTTTATTTTAATTAATTGATTTGAAATTATTTTTCACCCAATATTTTATTTACTCGAAAATCATATAATTTTTTTTAAAATTTATTCAAAGTATTCAAACACTCTCTAATTGTTATATTTAAAAAAAATGTAATTTTTTTAACATAACATTTATACCGATTATTATTAATATAATTAATTATATCGATAAAATAATTTTGAACATATAATTTAACATTAATAAAATAATTTTTTTAAATATGCAATTAATGATAAATTTGTGATTTAACTATTAATTTACATAAAAAAAATAATTATTGGTTAGCTATTGTTAAAACAAAAAATTAATTTTAGATATAATTAGTTCAGTAAAAAAACAGTTTAAATGTTTATTAATTATTAATTTAGAAAATTATTATTAAATATTATAACTTTTTTTACATATTAAGCAATATATGTCTAATTAAATCAATAACAAAAAAATTATTTAAAATTAAAACAATATATACTGTATATTAAAGGTATAGTTAGTGTATAATTGAAATATAATAAATAAATAAATAAAATTTTGTGTGTTTTTTTTTAAAATTTAACTAACAGTATATAAACCCTAATATTATATTGTTAATTGTTTTTTAAATAGTTTTATTGTCTATAATATATGTATGTTTTTATAAAATAAATAAATAAATAAATTTTTTAGTGTCACTGTTTAGGATATAATATAGTAAATAAAAAATAAAAATTGTATGAATTAAGTGGGAGTTCAATGAATTGGTTGGCAAACAATGGCAATAATAAATATTTATGTATTAAAACAAATAAACAAAAAAAATTGAATAAATTAAGAGAAAAATATATATAATTTTTGTTTTTTGATGTAATAATACTATTTTGTTTGTCTATAAATTATTTTTTTAAAAAAATATATATAAATTATTAATTTACAAAAAAAAATTGTTTAAGTTTTAAGAAAAAGTTTGACGCCTTTATATTAATACATAACTTTTATTTTTATTATATGAAAAATTTTTAATTTATTTTAAAGTAAACATTTAGTTATATTATTAAATATTTAAAATTTAAAGTTTTTTTTAAATAACAATTTTTTTTTAAAAATAAAGTTATCTCTAGTCTACAAAAATCTATGAATCAATTTGTTTTTGTTTTTTTTTGTGTGGATATCATTAATCAAATAAAATATCAATTATAATATAGATATTTATATCATATATAATTAAATAAAATATTTTAGATCATAAATATTCAGTGAAATATTCATAAAATATTTATTTATTTAAAAAAAAATAGTTTGAATTACTTTTATTATTATTATTAGACTAATATAGATTTAAAATAATTATTAAGTTATAATACCCCCTGGTACTGTCCAGGGTAATAATATTATTTTTAGATGATAACTAAACTAGTGGGTTTAAAATTAGGTCATTATTTTTTATAGTCCTAAATATTTGGTTGCACTAGTTTTTTTATTAATAAATGTTTTTTTAATTATTGCCATTGAATAACACTTTTATAAAAAAAACACATTTATTTACTATATATGTAAAGCATAACTAAAGCTTACAATCATAGGGTTGCATACATGTTAACTTAAAAATAGTTTAGTAAAATAAATATATTAACTATTAATAAAAGTTTAATTATTGTAATATCGTATTTAAAAAATACTATGTTTTGAATCTAATTTTTAGTCATCAAAAACTATTATATAATTAATAATAAATAATTAACTATTTTTTTTGGTATTAATATCAACATTAAATATATTAGGCTATTATATTAACATTTTGTTGGATTAAAAAAATTAATTATAATATATTTCAATAGATTAAAAAATTATTTATAATAACAATTAGAAATATATATATTTTTTCATATATATATACCGGTATATACTAATAATAAAATTTAATTATTTAAATTATTTATATATCAATTTATTAATACTAGAAAAATTACCTTAAGTTTCATGCTTTACATAATAATAATAAAATAGTTAAATATTTTACTAATAACACCTTATTTTTTGTGTATATATAATCACGTTATCTGATTATCATAACATTATTATTACAATATTATTATTATTATTATAACATTAATAGCAATAAAAAAATTGTTTTTTAAATGTTAACAGATGTTAAATTATATATATAAATATATTTTTTTTAAAAATTATATATAGTTTTTTAATAGTTCCCATTTTTTTTGTGTAAATACCAATGTAAATATCAAATAAAAATAATTAACATTAATTTTATTGTTAATATTTAACTATAAAATATATGATATTTTTTATTATTATTATTTTTACAACATTTGTCATTGAGGTGTAAAATATTGTTTTTTAATAAAAATATTTTTTGATATTTTTGTGTTTGTTGTATATATACTATTAATAGTAGTTTTATTTTAATTGCAAATAAAAATATATAATTTAATTATTTAATAAAAATATTTTTTGTTAATCACACAAACTGTTGTATACTATTAACATAATTTATTTTATTTATTTATTTTTTTTGATAGTTAATTGTCAGTCAAAATAAGTTTTATGAAAATATTTTTATTATCGCTAATAAAATTAAATATATTCAATATATTTAACAAATTAAAATAAATATGTATTAGTATTATAATATATTTTAAATATATATATATAAGTTTCTAATATTTTTTTAATAATAAATTTTAATATCTAAATACTAATAATAATTTTTGAATTTAAAAAAAACTTTATGTAATATCTACACACACAACAAAAATATTAAAATATTATATAATCTACTTATTTATATAAAATACAACAAATATTATTTTTAATTGTTTTATTTATTTGTTTATTATATTATTTGCAAAATAAATATATATATATATATATATAGATTTAATCTGTGATTTTGAATTAAATATTATATAATATATAATATTTTTTTCTAATACTATTATTAACAACCTATTGTCAAAACAATACAACAATACTATTAATAATAATAATAATAATAATAAAGTTTTTCCGATTTATCTACCCTTTTGTTGACTCAACAAATAATAATAATAATTGTTTCAAAACGGAAACTATAATTTCAACAAAAAAAAATATTTATTTATTTTCTATTTAATTCATAAATAATAACAAAAATTATTTGTCATTTTAAACTTTATATATACCTATATGTATATGAAATCATACCTATTATGTGACATTAAAATTGAATGAATGGGTGAACCCATAGTGTGATTGAGTGAAAGAGAGAGAGAGAGAGAGAGAGAGAGAGAGAGAGAGAGAGAGAGAGAGAGAGAGAGAGAGAGAGAGAGAGAGAGTATAGGGAGTGATAGGATTAGGGCTGAGCTATTAAACTCCCGATTCTCTCTATCTATCTATCATTCAATACATAATATAATATATTATATACTATACTATCATCACTCGTGCACATAGTTTTCATGTCATTTCAAGGTGAGTCACATAACATAATAATAATTTTTTTAAATTTAATATTTTAGTATATAATAAAAAAATTATTAGTAATAAAATACTAGTCATATCATTGAGTTATAGATATTAGAGAAAAAACTCCTAAATTCAAGGAAATATGTGTTTTAATTGTTTATAAAAAAAATCAAAACTTATAGTATGTATGTATTAGTTGATTGAGGTGTACCTGTATTTACTGTAGTAAATGTGTGTATAGTTTATATTGAGTCAACATTTTTCAGATACCGATCCCACTTGTAGTGTAAGTTTGAAGAGAGAGAGAGAGAGAGAGAGAGAGAGAGAGAGAGAGAGAGAGAGAGAGAGAGAGAGAGAGAGTGAAACATCAATTAATAATAATAATAATAATAACAGTTTTTTTGGTGTTGTGTTGTATAAAACAAATAAATATATTTTATTTTTTTTTGTAAAAAAATCTGTGCTTATAATAAATGATTAAAAAAATTAGTTTATAAACTATTTTTTTTGTAAATTTATTTATTATGATATGATATGATAGTGTAATATATACTGTATTAGTGTAATAATAATTAATGGTTTTTTTATATATATTTCTAACGTATCATTGAATATATAATATTAATATACAGTATATAAGGTATACTATATATAGATATAAAAATTATTATTATTATTATTATTATTTCACTGTAAAAAAATCACTTTTTAATTATACAGATATTGTTATACAGTATATATATAAACATAACATATTTATTACACTTCAAACTTTCAAAATTTATTATTATTTTTAAAAAATTTAGATGAAATAAAAATGTTTATAAATCTTTTACTACTAATAATAATATTTATTATTATTATTATTATATAGTATTTAGTTTTTTATATAATTTTTTTTCAAACTAAACTAACCATTAATTTTCTATTTTTAAAACTACAACAACAAACTCATCCACAAAATAATAATTTTTATTATTTTCCGAGAAAAAAAACTTTAGTTTTTAAAAAATAAATTTATTGACTGTTTAAAAAAAGTTGTTTATGATATTTATTAGGGAGGTATCCAACAAAACAAAAAATAAATTACTGTATAAGTAATATACAGTATATATATATATATATATAGTATATAAGTGTATGAATCATAGGATTAATAGCTATTTAAAAAATTTTTTTATTTTGTTTGTGTGATTCATAGCTATTATCTACTGTATTATTATTAGTATTATTAGTATTATTATTAATGTTAATCCAATGGTTTTTGTTTTGTTTTTTACAGTGAATTTTTTTCAGTGAATAATCTCTAAAAAATATTTTAAATAATAATTTTTTTTTTGAAAAATAAAACAGAAGAAGAAGACCAACGAAGAAGTGGTTAATAATTCAGATGAAGAGGTATTTCTTCTGGTAATACCTTCTGGCAGTCATTTCTTCGTAATTTTAATTTTATTATTATTATTATTATTATTATTATAAGTATTATTAGTATTACTATTACTACTACTACTACTATTGCCTTAAAATATAAGTAACGAGTTTTATATATATATATATATTATATAACTTAAGAGCCGATAAACATAATAACAACAAGTTTTTCATATATATATATATATATATATATATATATATATATATATATAGTATTATAGATTAGCGGAAAAAAAGTTTATTTATAATTATATTACTATTTTGAAAGAGATATATATAATATATATATAAATGTTTACTAAATTTTTAAATATTTGTTTCAATAAATTGTTTTTTTTTTGAATTTTTGTTTCTATAATATAAGCTATAAAAGTATGTAACTGTTATATACACTGTTTACTGTATATATATATTATATATCATCATATAAGGTATGTTTGAAAAAAATACCTGTATTTATATTGATATATATATATATATATATATATATATATATATAAATAGCTGATATTATATGTTTGTGAGAGAGAGAGATAGATAAAGATAACAGTCCTCTCACTATAATAAATATATGTAATATTAATACTACTGTTATATTATATTATATATTATACTTAGATTTCTCATTAGATTTTTTGTTTGTTTGTTGATAAAAATAATAAATTGAATTTTATTATTTTAAAAAATATATATATATATACTGTATATATAAATCATTTAATGATTTTTGCTATTTTACATTCACACACATCTAATATATCTAAAAATTTTTCATCAATTTATTTTTGTTGTGACATTTATTTTTCTAAATAGTTAATAGATATGTATATAAAATCAATTAAAATAGTTTATATTAATTATAATAATTAATAATAATTTTTTTTCTCATAATTAAATACAGTTATTATTATTATTGAATTATTATTAAGTGATAATACCATTGACTATACTATGGACTCTACGATATCATCGACGACTAGTTTTAGTGATACATCAATACAACAAACAACAAAAATGGATACAATTATCTCAAATAATCATATAATTAATAATCATAATAATCACAAAAATAATAGTAATCATAATAATCATAAACATAATAATTATAATAATAATGACAATCATAATAATAGTGATGATAATAATCGTAAAAAACATTTAAGTTCCGTAAAGTTTCTGAAATATCTGTTCCTATGTTCGGTAATAACATTGATTATAGGATCGGGTGTTTTATTTGGACTATCCATCGATAGGTTAGCTAATATATCCGATAATATTGATAGTATTGAACGTTTCGGTATCAACGAGTTGGCCGCCAAACGTACCGAAAAACTACAACAACAAAGTTAGTAATTAATTAATTAATTTTTAGTTTAATTATTTATAATAATTATTATTATTAGTAGTAATATTAGTTGGGTCAAATATTTTTTTTAATTAATTAGTTAACTAATTAATATTAGTTAAGTATTTCAAATAATTTATTTACTATATAATAATAATAATTATAAATAATAATAAGTTATGATATTTATAATTATTTATTAAAAATATTTACAATATTAATGTATTTATATATTTTATATATAATATTTTATTTACTTAATCAACAATAATAAATAAATATATAACAAAAAAATAGTTATTTAATTATTAGATTATTTATTTAAAAATATTTATTTAGTAAAACTTTTTTTTCAATAAAATGTTTTAATTTATACTTTTAAAAAAATTAATAATAATAATTGCAACTATTTATCATTATATTGTATTTTAAATAATATTTTTAAAAATATTTTATTAAATCATGAATTGAATACAATTGCAACTATAATAATGGGTTAACCAATTAATAACTATAATAATAATAACTATTTGTAATAAATCGTGTTTTAGTATATACAGTAATAATAGTTTTCTTTGTATTAAAAAACTAGATACAAGTATTTTGTTGTTATAATTATTGAAAATCATGATTAAAATGTTTTTAAAAAAGGGTAGACAACAAACATAATAAACATAATAATTGTATATTTTTTTACAATTAATTATTTATATACAGTATATAATTGTTGGCAAATTATAGCATAAAATTAATTATTAATATTAGTTTAAATTTTTGAATTTCTATTTAATATTAGTTTATTAAATATTTATTTATAGTTTAATTATATAAGTAAAAAATATTTATTTTTATTTAATAAAATAGTYTATTATATTATAATAAATTTTTAAATAAAATTTAACAATAATTCAAAATAATAARCTATTATTTCAATTGTTATTAACTAGTAGTTAATCAAATAATATTTATTTTTGTAATAATAATTTAATTTYAMAATTTTTTTTATATTAAAATAATTGAAATATTTTTAYTGATGCTTTTTGTAGTTGTATTATATTATTATTATTTTTTGTAAAAAATTGAATTTAAATATTATATTGAGTATTATTCATGAGATTTTATTTATTTATTATTATTATTATTATTAAAAAATATGTTATAATATTCTAATGTTTTTCAATTACTATGATTTTTTTTGTTTTGTTTTTTTTTGTTGAATTGAATATAACATTAAATTGTTAGYTAAGTGATATTTTTTTRTTGTATAAAATTGTTWAAAAAAATAATAATATAATAAATGAAAACTTAATTCATTTGTATTATATTAGTAGAAAAATWTTTAAGTGATTCATAATAATAATAATGAATAACTAACTATTAATATGACATTAATGTTAATGYTTTTTAAGAAAAAATATTAAAATAATTTTTTCTTCAAATTTGAAATTACATTATATTTTTTTGTTGAATAACTTTTTTTATTATTGTTGTAATTGTATAAAAATACTTTCATATTATTATTATTACTGCTTTTATCCTTTAATTTTAGTATTTTATATATTAAAATAATTATTTCAAATTTTATTTTATTATTTTAGAAATTATTATTTTTTTTTATTCAGTAATAYATTAGTGAAAAATTCTTTAACCATTTTGTCACTAATTATATTATAAGTGATACACACATACAGTATAATAATAATAATAATAATTTATTTAATAATAATAAAACTAATTTTTTTTAAAAATATTTTTGGTTTAGTATGTTAACACCTAATGCCCAAAAATTTGTTTTTAATGTAATAATAATAAAATTATTTAAAAAAAATAAAATGTGTGCAAAATAAATGACTTTAAATTAGTTATAATCTATAATACAATTTATTTAGTTTTTTCGGTAATAATTTTTTATTGATTTATTTGATTAATTTTTTCCCAATTTAAATAGCAAAGTGAAAAAAACAAGTTTATTATTATTATTATTATTATTTTACTGATTAATGCCAATAATGATAATCTTAATAATAATAATAATACAGTATTTTTTTTTGTTAAATTACTTAACAAATCACTAATAATTATTATCAAAAAAAAAATATAAATAAAATAAAAACTAAAAAAAACTACTGTACAGTTAGTTAATTATTTTTTAGTAGTATTAGTAGTAGTAGTAGTTTTTAACGGTTAATATTTCATTTATTTTATTTTTTTTACAAAAAAAAGTTATATATATTTATTACCTATTAGTTAGTGATAGCAACAACAAATCAACCGGTGTTTAAGTATATATATATTTTAATTTTGTTTTTTTTTTGGTTTAAATTTGTGTAAAAATTTAGAGATAAACAGATAATAACATTACTATTAGTATTATTATAATATTATTATTGTAGATATCTTTTGGCAAAATCTATCTGTAAAAAAATTAATTATAAATTCATATCAAACCCACCGATAGCTTGAATTTTGTTTGTAGTCATGATTTTTGTTTGTGTTTAAAAATAGTTTATATATATATATATTATATATATTTATGGTGTGTATGTATGTGTGTGTATGTGTGTGTGTATGTRTGTGTGTGTGTGTGTGTGTGTGTGTGTGTGTATGTGTGTGTATGTGTATGTGTGTATGTATGTGTATGTATATGTGTTTATRTATGTATGTGTGTGTATGTATGTGTGTGTATGTATGTGTGTGTGTTTGTGTGTTTGTGTGTATGTGTGTATGTATGTATGTGTGTATGTATATGTGTGTGTGTGTGTGTGTTATAGCAATAATTAGATGCACTATTATAGACTATCACTAAATAAAAAATTATTAAATAAAAGGGGTCATCAAACTAGACAACAACAACAAAAATATACTATAAATGTTATATCCATTTATTACTACTATTATTATTATATACCAAATAATTAGTTATTAAAAAAAAATATTTATTTTTTTTGAAAACTAATTTTTCAATACAATAATTTATAAAAATTAATTTTTGTTACTGTAATAGAAATAATTATTCATTTTATTTTTTTTTTGGTTATATTCAAAAAATATAAGATAATTATATTTGAATTAATTATTATTTAAATGATAAATATAGTATAATTTTTTATATACACTAATAATATTTTGTATTATTTTTTTATTATTATAGCTTATTATATATGATATTTAAAAAAAAACATTTTAAAATTAATATTTTTTATATTCAAAGACAACGACACGAATATATTTAAATATTTTTTTAAAAAATTTAAATAATTTTTGTTGTATTTATAATTGTTTTTAAACACGAAATTGAATTGAAATTTTCTAAAATAATTTATATATATATATATATGAATATGTATTTTGAATGTAATGAATATATTTAACTTACTTTTATTTAGTTTATTTTATTATTATTTTTTTATTATTGAAAAAAAGTAAAATTTATTTTTATTTAAAAAAATAAATCAAATCTAGATAACTATTTTTTTAATTAGTTATATAATTTTTTTTATGTATTTGATATATATATATACAGTAATTATTATCTAACTAAATAAATAAAATTTTATTACTTATAATAATAATAGTAATAATAATTATTGTATCTATTATTTGATTATAATTTATTTAATTATTTGGCTAACAATCAAATATTTGTATAGTATTATTAGTATAATTAAGAAATTAAATCAATATTATATTTATATATAATTTTATATATATCTAGAGTAGTACTGTATTAAAATGCAATAATAATAATAATAGTAATTAAAATAAATTTATTGATAAAATTATGATAAATAAGACAAACAATAAATTTTTTTAATATACAGTATTTATAGAGTTATGTTAATAATAATAGCAAAAAACATAGAAAAATTTAATTTAGGATAAATTTATTATTTTTATCAATAATAAAATTATTTATAAAAATAAATATCTGTGTTTGAATTAATTTAAAAATTATTTAAATCATAAATTGTTAACATTTTTATATTTAGCATTTGTTAACATTATTAATATATATATTAAATAAATTCAAATAAATTGTTGTTTTAATATTAAAATATTCATAACATTTTTGTGTTAAATTTACCCAAAAAAATATCTCATTCACAAACTAATAACAAAATAAAATAATATGAATTAATTTAAATATATATATATATACATTATTTTAAAAATTTTACCTATTTTTAAATGCAAAAAAAATCAATTATTTTTAGATAAAATACATCTATTTATATCTTATGTCAAACAAACAAAATAAATGTATGACATTTCATACATATATGATATATCTATTTAACATATACTGTATAAAAAATATATATATAATTTATTTAATATTTTTTAGTATTTAAAAAAATAATAATAATACATTGTATACAGTTGTATACAAAAAAATACCACATTATTTTAGACAATAGTTGAAAATTGGATTTTAATTATAATAATTTATATATAATTTTTATTTTAAAAATAATACATCAATTTTTTCATATATATATATATATATATATATATATATATATATATATATAATCATAATTGTAAATTGTAGTTAACATTATAATCAACAATATATATTCATAACTTAATTGAGTAAATTATTATTATTATTATTTTTGTTGAAAAAATTATATATATATGATATGTCATATTATATTATATTATAAATACTTGTATATATCTATTGTATATATAATGGACAGCCTTGTGCCCATTCGACCATCCCTTTCATTATATATATATTATATATATATATATTTAATATTATAATACAAGTAACATATGCTATATATTTAGTATATACTGTATATAAATACTTGTAATAAATTTACTTTCAAATTGTCTAATAATTATTAATTGTTTGGTTCCCAACCCTGAAAATAATAATAATAAAAAAAACTGTTGACACCTGTTAGCACACATAATATTAATTTTATTATAATTATTTATATTATAATTTATTATCAAATCATCTAGATTGTTTTTTTAATTTAAAATAATTTTTTTTTTAATTTTAATATAAAATATTTAACTAAATTTTATTCAATATATTATATACATATTAATATCTATTATATAATATAAGTTTTTTTTTTGTGCAACAATAGTATGTTATGTTATCTTTTTTGTTGCTTTTTTTATTGTAATTAATATTTATTTATTTATTTATTTATTTATTGTTGTTGTGTATCTAATTACTTATTTTTTGAATTGTGTTAATTAGTTTTTTATTAAGCTTCAAAAAAATTTTTAAATAATTATATTATAAATGAAATTAATGTTAAATTGTTAATTATATATATAAAAAAACATTTTTTAAATGTATTTTCAAACTATAATTAAGTTCATTCATCGACTAACTAATCTCTTAAATGCCTTAATTAAACTAATTATTTTGTTTTTGTATTTTTTTGATAATTATTTTATATTATTTTTTGTTGTTGTTGTTTATAATTGATGTTTTTATTTTTTTAATAAATAAATAGGCTTGGCAATAAATAAAATAAAATTTATTTATTTATTTATTTTTTGAAATACAGTAAATTTTTAAATATAACTATTTTTTTATTTTTATTAGATTTTGTATAATAAAATAAAATATTAAATAGTTATCAATAATATCAATAATAAAATTAAAAACAAAACAAAAATAATTTAATTATCATTTAATTATTTGCTAATATTTACTACAAAAATAATAGGTACTAATAATAATTTTTTAATATTTTATTAATTTATATTAATATCTACTAAATCAAAAAACAACATCAATATTATATAAATTTTTAAAAATAATATAATAAATATAAATCTATAAGTAGTAGACTTTTAAAAAATTATATTAAAATATAATAAAAATGTATATTATTTTTATAGATAAATAAGTTTACAGTTTATGAAATTAAAAACAAAATTAATTAGTCAACAAACATAATGTATAAATATATATTTAAAAAAAAAATAAAAACTGTAATTTTAGCTGTAATTATACTTGCTCCAATAATAAATTAGTTAAACATAATTAAATAATAATAGATATGACATACGATTCCTAGTTTTATTATATTTATTAAATTAAAAAAAATAATAACAATAATCATTAAATTAAATTAATAATAATATACTGTATAATTATTTTTTAATATATATATATATATATATTTATGGGACAAACAAAAATTAAAATATTATACAAATATCATTTAGTTATAGATAAAAAAAAGTTACTTTAACTTAAATTAACATTATTTTCAATATTTATTAAAATCATGTATTAAATCGATAATTACTATTATTATTATATTAGTAAATTATTTATATATTACAATTGTTATACTAATTAATTGATTTACAGTTTTTAAAAATAAATTATTTATAATTTATAAAAAAATTAAAAAAAACAATCTAGAAAAACTATTTGTAATTTAAACTGTAATAAATTAATAGTTAAAATAAATATAAATAGTACTATATATTGATTAAACATTGCATATAATATTTGATTATCAGATATTATTTTATTTTTTATTAATTAGTATATAAGTTTAATATTATTAATTAATATATTATTTATTTATATTAATTAATATATTATTTAATTTTTATTAATTAGTATATAATTTTAATTTTATTAATTAATATATAATTTTAATTTTATTAATATTTGATTTAATTATTATTATTTTTTATTTGTTTAACCACCAGAATCGTCATCAATCTTATCATTAATCATCAATTCATTGATTATACTGTCGTCACTGTTTGGTATCGTATCCATACTCAGAGACAACTTCCTACAGATACTCATCTACTGTGTGGTCAACACTACTGTCCTGTTTGTCGGTCTAATCCTATTAGGCGGCGAACAAACCAAAGCGGCACTGGTTTTACTACAGATAGCCGTCACCGGGTTTGCCATCACTTATACACTGAGTATTTATTGTCAAATGAGAGCCGAATTAAAGCGAAAGAAGAAGAAGAAGAAGTCGATGAAGAAGTCGAGGAATAATTTAGACAATAATAAAAAGTTACCGAAAACTGTGTCCGAAAAAAATAATGATATAAATGGCCAGTCGTTAGCCAATGCCAATGGACTGGTAGTCGGTATGAATGGCAACGACCAAACCTATCAACGATACGATGATATTATTAACAGTGGTTTCAATGATAGTCTAAGTATTTCAGATAATAATCCAGATTTTAATGATAGTTTTGATAGTGATTTGAAAGAAATTAAAGGAATTATTGTTTGAATTATTATTTTTTTTATTTAAAAAAATAAAATAAAACAAATATTTTTGATAAATAATAATAATTAAAAAAAATAATATAATAGACTAATAATAATTGTATTATTATTATAAGATTTTATTTTATTATGTTTCATAATTATCATTACATTGTTTAAACATTTTAAAAATATATATATTTAAGTAAAAAAAACTATTTTTTATTTTTTATCATTTATAAAATATAATTTATTATTTTTTATTATTATTATATAAATTTTATATATTTTTGTTCATTTATGTCAATTTCTATCAATTTAAATGTATTAATAAAAAATAATTATTAAATAAATGTTTTAATACATTAATAATTTTATAGTAATAATCATTGATTTATTAATAAAAATAATTTTAAAATCTTATTTAATATTATTAGTAAATGTTAATAATTATATATAACTACAGTATAATAAAACTACTAAAACAACAATAAATAGCTTAAACAATATATGTAAATAAACTGTAATTTTTTAAAAATTAATTTATCTTGATCAATAAAATTTTAGTTAGTAATCTAGAAAATTAGATAGCATTATTCATAAAATTATATTTTATTCTAGTATAATTTTATAGCAATATGATCATATAATCTCCAACTACTATTATTAGTTTATTAGTAAATTATTTATATATTACAATTGTTACACTAAATTAATTGATTTACAGTTTTTAAAAATAAATTATTTATTAATTATAAATTAACACAATCTAAAAAAATATTTATAATTTATACTGTAATTAATTAATAGTTATAATAGTTAGTACTATATATTGATTAAATATTGAATAAAATATTGAATAAAGTATAAGAGTCTAATTTTATTAAATAATATTATAATCTTATTTAATTTTATTAATTAATATCTGATTTATTTTTATTAATTAGTATATAATTTTAATATTATTAATTTATATCTGATTTAATTTTATTAATTAGTATATAATTTTAATATTATTAATTTATATCTGATTTAATTTTATTACTTAATATCTGATTTGATTATTATTTTTTTTGTGTTTAACCACCAGAATCATCATCAATACTATCATTAATCATCAATTCATTGGTTATAATATCATCACTGTTTGGTATCGTATCCATACTCAGAGACAACTTCCTACAGATACTCATCTACTGTGTGGTCAACACTACTGTCCTGTTTGTCGGTCTAACCCAATTTTATTGTGAAATATTTGTCTAAATATATTATTATCATTTGGATCAATATTTATGCAATAAATAAATAAAAATTTCTTAATTAAATCATTGTTAATATAATGTTGTTTATTCTGGATAATCGTAGTACATGTTGGTCTATCATAATATGATGATTGTATCATTGATGATATCAATGTTGAAATATTATCAATGTATAACATTAAATTACTGTAGCGATACATATTCTTAAATAAACTATAAAATTAATACAACAAAAAATTAGCATTAAAAATAAAATTATAAATTATTAAATAAAAAAAAAACTGTTTACCCCATATCATTATCACTGTTGTTAACATCAAATAAGTCCATTAGTATATAACCCATACTATAGATATCACTTTTCTCATTATATGCCACTCTATCCGAACCTTTATCCCCTCTAACTTCTGGTGCAATATATTTATCTGTTCCGACATTTTTGGTATAAAATTCTGATTTAGAGCCCATACGGTAGTGATCAGTAGCTAAACCAAAATCACATAGTTTTATAAAACGATTATCTAATGGCTTATCATTGATGAGTATATTTGCGGGTTTGAGATCGCGATGAATAACCGGCGGTTGTCTTGTATGCAGATATTCAACGCATTCACACAACTCTAACATTAAATGACTTGTAATGTAATACTCAATCAAATCCATTGGTTCATTAATATGTCGTTGAAATGTCTTTGCTTTCATTTCAATCAAATCTTTAAGACTTTGTGATAATAACTCCATTTGAATGTAAATTATATTTGATTCAATCCAAGCGTTATAACATTTGACCACAAATTTTGATCTAAATATCAGTAATTGTTTGACTTCTTGAAAAATTAGATTATTTTCTTTAAAATCTTAAAAAAGTAAATTTAAATATTTTATAATAATATATTATTTAAATAGTTATCAAGCAATTTTGTTTAATTAACAATGACTTTTATATTTAATATAATTATTTAATACCTGTTATAATAAAATCTTTAATTGTATAAACTTTTTCAGTATTTTTGTCCAAACATTTATAAACTCTTCCGAAACGTCCCGAACCTAACAGTTCTATTTGACTGAAATTATTTCTATAAAAATTTCTTTTATCAGTAATTTTCCAGAAATTTTCGATATATTTATTTATATCAATTGTTTCATATCCTGCCAAATGTTTATCAGAATATATATCAATAAAACATTTTTCAAAACGTTTCAACAATTTTACTTTATCTCTATCTTCATAAATAATTTCATAATAATTGTTATCATATTTTTTAATATAATTAGTCCATAAATCTACTATTGAATTGATAGTTAATTTTGAAGGTTTTTCATATAAATTTAAATCTAATTTTCCGCATTGATATAAATAGCCATCGGTTGTTAGAAAATAAGTCAAATAATTATTATAATTAAATGATATTAATTTAATATTTTTTAAATCCACTAACAATACTGGCTTATATAAGTATAAGTTTTTATGTCCCAATTGATTATCTTGATTATCACCCCAACTGTAAACAAGTCCATCACTTGTTATGGCAAATGAACAACAATTATAACAATAAATTGATTTAATTCTAATATTTTCATGAAATATAACACGAGTCGGGCTATCAATACATTTAAATTCTTGTTCACAACCGCACTGTCCGTATCTGTTATAACCCCATCCATAGACAGTGCCCGCACTGGTCAGTGCCAGTGAATGATATGAACCACAAGTGATATCAATAATACATTTATCGCTTAAGAATGTAATGATCGCTGGTTTGCTGTACTCATCACTGGTATGTCTACACAATTGTTTGCATCCATTGCAACCCCAGCTATATATTTGTTGGTCACTTGTTATACACAATGCAAAATCAGTTCCGATAGAAAATTTGTTAATATTTTTCTGACACAATTCAGGTATAACTTGTGGTTGATTGACATCAATGTTGTGACCCAAACCAAATATACCACATTGATTATAACCTAATCCATAGACCTGATCATCATTTGTTACAAACCATACATTATTATAACTATAATGAAATAGTTTTATTTCATATTTTATATGCAGTGATATTTCATTACACAATGAAAATTTATTAAACAAATCAATTGCAGACATTTTACTTAGCAGACATTATATAGATTTAAAAATTGTATATATTAATATTAAACAAAACAAATATATTTAATATAAAAAAAAATGAAAACATAAAAATGGCGATTTAGGACAATAAAATTATATCCATGGTTATTTTATCTTTTTAATAATTTCATTTATTATACTGTATTATTATTATTATTACTGAGATAAAATAAATATAATACTTAATGTATTAAACTGTATTATTTATATTATCTAACATTTTTTTCATAATAAAATTTTTACAGTTATAACAGTTATATACTTATCTTATTTTTAGATTATTTAATTATTAAGTATAAAATATAAAATTACTATAAAATTAGCTTTATTATTAATTTTATTAAATTTTTTTTCAGGGGGGGGGTGTATAGTGTGGGGTAAATTTAATAAGCTTTAATAAGTGGAAATTTTTAAAAAGTCAAAATTGCTATAAATTGAAATAGTATAATTATTATTTGTTACTTTTTAAATTTCTAAGAGCCATTTTGCTTCAAAAATGTTAGTTTTATTTTTTAGAATACAATTTAATATATTTTCATCTATTATAATTTAATTATAATAATATAATTACATTGTTTATGATTAAGTGTATACCCTGTAGTATTACTATATATTTAATTATTGGATTTTTAACATAACTTTTAAATATTTAAATAAAACATTTTATTATCGTTTAATAATAAAATTTAAAATAAATGTAAATCATTTTTTATATGTAATAATTAAATATATGTTACACTATATATGTTCATTTTACAACACTTTATAAGATATAGATTGAGACTTAAAATAGAATAAAACTTAAACTAATTTATAAAAAAAATTAAAATAAAAATTTTATTAATATAATATAATAAATAAAACTAAAGTTTAACTTACATAAATAGATTAAATTATATATGAACAATGTAAAACAATTTATCTAATAATGAATTATCTTATAAATATATGATGAAGTTATGATGTTATGAGATATGAGTATATTATTTATTATCATCTTGTTGTTTTTTGAATATCTAATAGTAATATATTGATTATCATTCTGTGTTAGTTCCGTACACATAAGCACTTACAAATAATATGAAACTTCAGCATAATCATAGCCATTATTTTTGAAATTTTATAAAAAAATATTTAACTATTTAACTAATACAGAATTTTGTTATATATATTTGTCTGAAAATATTTTCATCATTTTGCGGAATATTTATGCATGGTGCAAATAAATTATTTCTAATTAATCCAATATTAATATATTGATTATTATCCTGGATAAGTTCCGTACATGTAGGTCTATTGTTAGATGAAGCATGTAACATCATACTTATTATATTTGAAATTTTATCTATCCAAACCTTTAATTTAGTTTCGCGATACAACATTTGAAATTGTCTAGAAAAAAAATATATATATATATCATATAAACTATATGTGGTAGGTTTAAAAATTAATATTACAAAAAAATATAATAAATATTTAAATGAATTAATTACAATATAATAAGCAATAGAGTTATAAAATTATATTCTACGTTAACAATAATAAATTACGAAAATATTCATATTTTTAACCTAACCTAACCTAACCTATCTTAAAAACAAACTTAAATTCTCCCTAAGTATCATTTTATTTAATTATCTATTATAGTTTTTTGTGTATAAATTTTTAAAATATGCATTTTTTAATTTATACGTTATATATATATATATTAATATTATTATATATAATAAAAAATAAATATTATAAATGATACAATATACTTACTCCATATCAATATTATCGTTGATATCAAATAAATCCAATAGTATAAACCCCATACTATAGATATCACTCTTTTCATTATAATTATTACCGCTTTTTACTTCAGGTGCCATATATTTATCTGTACCGACATTATTAGTGTGAGTATCCGATTGAGAGCCCATACGGTTGTGATGAGTGGCCAAACCAAAGTCACATAATTTAAGGAATCGATTATCTATTGGCTTATCATTGATGAGTATATTTGCCGGTTTGAGATCTCGATGAATAACCGGTGGTTGACTTGTATGCAGATATTCAACGCATTCGAACATCTCTAACATTAAATGACTTGTTATGAAATACTCAAAACTATCAAAAGTTTGATTTGGTTGTCGTTGAAATGCTATTGCTTTTTCTTCTAACAAATCTTTAAGACTTTTTGTACATAATTCCATTTGAATGTATAGTCTTTTCTTTTCAGTCCATATGTCATAACACTTCACTACATAAATTGATTGAAGTTTTCCTAAATGATTAACTTCTTTTAAAAATTTGTTTTTGACATCTATGTTTTTTTACAAAAAAATACAAAAATAATAAAATCTTTTATTAATATAGTATTAAAATTAAAAATAATTATATTTATTATTATATTTATAAATTATATAATTTTATATTATGCAAATAGTATTAGATACAAAAAGCTAATTAGATTGTTATATTTTTATAAAATTTATTTACGAAAAAAATTTTTTAATTTCTATTTATTTGATTGAATTTATTTTTTTAAATAGAGGAAAATAATTTTTTAAAAAATTCGGCAACAAAATATGTCAATACATAATATTGTTATTAAATACCTGATATTATAATATCTTTAATTGCATAAACATCGCCATTTAATTTGTCTTTATATTTATAGACTCTACCAAAACTACCTGATCCCAGAAGTTCTATTTGATCAAAATTCTTCAAACAATAATTACATTTTTCATTAATTGTCTTATAATTAGACAAAATTAGCAACACACGAAATAAAAACATTTTAGTAGTTTGCTAAAATAAACTAATTTTCAATGGCAAATATTTTTGTTTCCATGGTTATCTTTATAAAATCTGTTATCATCAAACGGTTATATATCTATATTAATTTAATTAATGGTGTTAATATAATAAAATATAAATAACAATATTTCAAAACAACAATAAACAACAAAAAAGTAGGTTCGTGTTTTTGACTAACGTTATTAATGTTTATAACGTATTATAAATATATTAAAAATAATATGAATCAATACTATTTTAATACCCAATGAATAAGTGATAATATTATTGTTATTATTATTCATCAAATATTTATATTATTATTATCTTTAAATTCGTAGTCAACAATATTCTATTGGATACTCTCTTTCTCTCTTATTTATTTTATGTGTCGTCAACAACATTACTACTCACTCTTATTTCAGTAGGTCTGTCCACATTTATGACCATCAGACCTATCTCGGTACTGGTTTTACTCCAATAGTTGATTGACTCTGACTTTTATATAATTTTAGTGTATAGTGTAGCATATAAAACTAGTGTATAAGTTATGTCAAATAATTCAAATCAAATATTTACGTAATTTTAAATATTATAAAATCTATTCAGTAGTATAATAATTAAATTGTAATTTTTTAATATTTTTTTTAAATAGAAATCACAAATAAAAATATTAATTTTTAAAAGTTGCAATTTCTAAGTTTTTATTTAGTATTTTTTATAGAAACATTTTTATTTTTAATATACTTCATAAAATTACAATATTATTAATTTATTTTTAGACATCATCAATAATAATAATAATAGATAAATAAATAAAAAATTTTATTATTTTAACTCGTCTAATTTGATTTAAAAAATTATTTTAATAAATTAATAATTTGATTAATATTAATAATAATAAATGTTTAAGATAAGAGTCCATGTATGTTTGATACCTTTTCCCAACATCAAAATTTTAATTAAAATATAAAAATGTAGTTATATTTTTAATTTTTAATCAAAGGAATGTTATTTCTATGGGAAATATTAAATGTTTATTGAGCTCAAAAAGGTTTTATGGGCAGGTAGGTATAAACTGTGTTACGAGACACAGGGCACCTGTAGGTTAGCTTCTTGTGCTAAATCGTTGTAAATTTATTTCAGATTTTTTGAGATTTGGTAGCATTTATTCTCAATTTATAGAATATTGATTATACAAAACAATTATTGATAATTAATGTTTTATTTGAATACTTATGTATGTATTAAATAATGTATAAATATATTAACTTTCCTTTGTATCAAAGTATTAAAACAATTTTTAAAAATACTTATCTATTAATAGCATGTAATAAAATAATAAATTTTAATTAACTTGAATTAACTACTATTAAACTATAATAGACTTTTTTGTTTAAAATTTTTTAATTATGACAGTAGACAAACTAACTCGCAGACCAATGAAATACGACGACAGATGTTTGGCGGTCACAACACATTCAAAGATTAATATTAAATATATCATTAAGGTTAGGTTAAATAAGATTAATAATAGTTGTAAATTTTGAATTTGAAAAAAGAACTACTAATTTACAAATAACAAAATGCTGTAAAATACCTTAAACTCTTCAATAATATTATTTTATAAAATTTAATTTATAATAAATTAAAAAATAATTTACAAAACATTTATTTTTTTAAATAAAATGGGTTACAACTAATTAAATAAATTTAATATCTATATATTTTAATTAGTTTATTATAATAAAAACTATTAAAAAATAATTAATAAAAGTCTAATAATAATCGCTTTTGGGCAATTAATTTTAATTCATTAATAAAAATAATTAATAATGATATAAATTTTATTTTTGTTTAACAAAAAAAAATTATTATAAAATAATTATAAATAAAACAACTTTACTATTAATTTATTTAAAAATCTTAATTCTTAAATCTTAAAAAAATATTAAATATTAAACATTTATCAATCTTTGATAATAAATTTTTAATTTATAACTATTTAAACATAAAATTAGATTTTTATTTAATAAAAAATTTATTTAAAAAATCTTGTAATAAATTTTAATTAAATAAGAAACGTCAACAAAATTTTGAAAACAGATGTTTGTATTATAATATATATTACTACTATAGACTAAATAAATTCATTGAAAGACTAAAAAACATTATTAAAATAGTATTTAAATTTTTTTATTTTTTCGGTAAAATCTCATAAAATCATCTCTAAATGGCTAAACTGACAATACTATTCTAACTATTAGTATTAGTGATTATTATAATATTTATTAAGATTGACTAATTTTTGTTAGAAATATTTGTCTAAATATATTGTTATCATTGTTATCAAATACTATTATAAACTATTATAACTAAAAAAATATTATATAAATATTGGAAATAAAATAATAAATATATATCTATAAGTAGTAGACTTTTAAAAAAATTTACTGAAATATAATAAAAATGTATATTATTTTCATAGATAAATAAGTTTACAGTTTATGAAATTAAAATTAATTAGTCAACAAACATAATGTATAAATATATATTTTTAAAAATAATAAAAACTGTAATTTTAGCTGTAATTTTACTTGCTCCAATAAAAAAATTAGTTAAACATAATTAAATAATAATAGATATGACATACGATTCCTAGTTTTATTATTTTTATTAAATTAAAAAATAATAATTATAACAATAATCACTAAATTAAATTAATAATAATATATAATTATTTTTTAATATATATATATTTCTATGGGACAAACAAAAATTAATTTATAATAAAAATATCATTTAGTTATAAATAAAAAAAAATTATTATAATTTAATTTACCATTATATTCAACATTTATTAAAAGAAAATACTAACCAATTACTAAAAATATTATATCATTAAATTATTTATATATTACAATTGTTACACTAATTAATTATTTTACAGTTTTTAAAAATTAATTATTTATAATTTATATAAAAAAAATTAAAACACTATTTTGAAAAAATAATTTCAAGTTTGAACTGTATTATAAAACATAGTATTAAATATTGATTCTCATAATGTAATTTTATTTTATTAATTAATATATAATTTCAATTTTATCAAGTAATAAAAAATTAGCTAATATATCGTTTTATAAAATCATATTATTATAATAATTTTATTTTTATTAACATTTGTTTTAATATACTATTTATTCCTAATTAGTTAAACATAATTTAATAATAATAATAGATATGTAATACAAGTTTTATTATTTTTATTAAATAAAATAATAATAATAACATAAATCACTAAATTATTAATAATAATATATATATTTATGAGACAAACAAAAATTAATTTATTATAGAAATATCATTTAGATAGAAATAAAAAAAAATTAGTATAATTTAATTTAATTAAATTTAATATTTATTAAAATCATATAATGTCCAACTACTATTATTAGTTTATTAGTAAATTATTTATATATAACAATTGTTACACTACATTAATTGATTTACATTTTTTAAAAATAAATTATTTATAATTTATAAAAAAATAAAATAAAAAACAAAATCTAGAAAAACTATATGTTTTTTAAACTGTAATAAATTAATAATTATAATAAATAGTACTATATATTGATTAAACATTGCATATAATATTTGATTATCAGATATTATTTTATTTTTTATTAATTAGTATATAAGTTTAATATTATTAATTAATATCTAATATTAATTTTATTAATTAATATATTATTTATTTATATTAATTAATATCTGATTTAATTTTTATAAATTAATTTGTTATTTATTAATATTAATTAATATATTATTTATTTATATTAATTAATATATTATTTAATTTTTATTAATTAGTATATAATTTTAATTTTATTAATATCTGATTTAATTTTATTATTTTTTTGTGTTTAACCGCCAGAATCGTCATCAATACTATCATTAATCATCAATTCATTGATTATAATATCGTCACTGTTTGGTATCGTATCCATACTCAGAGACAACTTCCTACAGATACTCATCTACTGTGTGGTCAACACTACTGTCCTGTTTGTCGGTCTAATCCTATTAGGCGGCGAACAAACCAAAGCGGCACTGGTTTTACTACAGATAGCCGTCACCGGGTTTGCCATCACTTATACACTGAGTATTTATTGTCAAATGAGAGCCGAATTAAAGCGAAAGAAGAAGAAGAAGAAGTCGATGAAGAAGTCGAGGAATAATTTAGACAATAATAAAAAGTTACCGAAAACTGTGTCCGAAAAAAATAATGATATAAATGGCCAGTCGTTAGCCAATGCCAATGGACTGGTAGTCGGTATGAATGGCAACGACCAAACCTATCAACGATACGATGATATTATTAACAGTGGTTTCAATGATAGTCTAAGTATTTCAGATAATAATCCAGATTTTAATGATAGTTTTGATAGTGATTTGAAAGAAATTAAAGGAATTATTGTTTGAATTATTATTATTTTTTATTAAAAACTAATATTTTTGATAAATAATAATAATTTTTTTAAAAAGAATAAATAATATAATAGACTAATAATATTTGTATTATTTTTATAATTTTTTTATTATTTCTCATAAATATCATTACATTGTTTAAACATTTTTTAAAAATATATATATATTTAAGTAAAAAACACTATTTTATATTTTTTATCATTTATTAAAAATATAATTTATTATTATTATTATTATATAAATTTTATATATTTTTGTTCATTTATGTCAATTTCTATCAAATTATATGTATTAATAAAAAATAATTATTAAATAAATGTTTTAATACATTAATAATTTTATAGTAATAATCATTGATTTATTAATAAAAATAATTTTAAAATCTTATTTAATATTATTAGTAAATGTTAATAATTATATATAACTACAGTATAATAAAACTACTAAAACAACAATAAATAGCTTAAACAATATATGTAAATAAACTGTAATTTTTTAAAAATTAATTTATCTTGATCAATAAAATTTTAGTTAGTAATCTAGAAAATTAGATAGCATTATTCATAAAATTATATTTTATTCTAGTATAATTTTATAGCAATATGATCATATAATCTCCAACTACTATTATTAGTTTATTAGTAAATTATTTATATATTACAATTGTTACACTAAATTAATTGATTTACAGTTTTTAAAAATAAATTATTTATTAATTATAAATTAACACAATCTAAAAAAATATTTATAATTTATACTGTAATTAATTAATAGTTATAATAGTTAGTACTATATATTGATTAAATATTGAATAAAATATTGAATAAAGTATAAGAGTCTAATTTTATTAAATAATATTATAATCTTATTTAATTTTATTAATTAATATCTGATTTATTTTTATTAATTAGTATATAATTTTAATATTATTAATTTATATCTGATTTAATTTTATTAATTAGTATATAATTTTAATATTATTAATTTATATCTGATTTAATTTTATTACTTAATATCTGATTTGATTATTATTTTTTTTGTGTTTAACCACCAGAATCATCATCAATACTATCATTAATCATCAATTCATTGGTTATAATATCATCACTGTTTGGTATCGTATCCATACTCAGAGACAACTTCCTACAGATACTCATCTACTGTGTGGTCAACACTACTGTCCTGTTTGTCGGTCTAACCCAATTTTATTGTGAAATATTTGTCTAAATATATTATTATCATTTGGATCAATATTTATGCAATAAATAAATAAAAATTTCTTAATTAAATCATTGTTAATATAATGTTGTTTATTCTGGATAATCGTAGTACATGTTGGTCTATCATAATATGATGATTGTATCATTGATGATATCAATGTTGAAATATTATCAATGTATAACATTAAATTACTGTAGCGATACATATTCTTAAATAAACTATAAAATTAATACAACAAA